GAATAGTTATTTCTAATTGAAATAGTTTGCATATATAGTAAATATGAAAGTACTCTAATTTATAAATGTAGTCTAAACTCCAAATCAGGCTTGCGTAACATATGATAGGCATAATAGTATCAATGGCCTGCTTTGCTTTGGCTTTCATTTTGTTAAAATGTGCTTTGAAAGTTAAATTCTAGTCAAACTTGATTCCCAAGTAATCTATTTCATTTACAGTTTGTAGTAACGAATTTTCGTGGTATATTTTAGTATTTTTTTCAGGTAAGTTGCAATTATTTCAGAATATTAAAACTTTTGTTTTTGTTGGGTTTATTGTAAGATGTAACGAATGAAAAAATTTATTGAGTTGATTGAGTTTTTGTTATAATGAAATTTTTGTGGGGGGCCAGGAGAACAAGATAGTCAGCAAAAAGAATCTAATGATATACCTTATTATCAACTATTATTCCGTCAGTCGACTTGGAGAAAAGATGATCTATGCCTATGAGGTAAAATTTGAATAAATACAGGGAAAGAGGATTTCCCTGAAGAATACCATGGGTTAGAGATAATGATTGAGAGATACTGTTGCCTTGTTTTATCCTGATATTATAATTTGAATATAGTTTTCAAATTGCAGAAGTAAAACGGTCACCTGCTCCACAGATTTTCAAGTTGTGTATCATATATTGAATTGAATGCTTTCTGAATGTCAACAAAGGAGGCATAAACTTTTCTATGTTTTTTTAAAAGATGAAGTTGGACTATCATTAATAGAGTGAAGATAGCTGATTCGGTACCTTTATTTGATAAATGTGTATTGAAATTTGGCTTCTAGTTCTATAGTTTTCGTCCATAATTGAAATTTGATTGCCAGGATTGAAGTAAAACATTTCCTTATAGTGGATAACAATGCTATCAGTCTGTAGTTTTTAGGAGAGGATTGATCACCTTTTTTATAAATCATCGTGAGAGTGGCTGAATTCCAGGATTCAGGGTAGTTGTTAGATTTGTACATACTGTTAAATAAGTTTAGTTATTTTAGTCTGGAATTGTGCACTAGCGATTTAAAAAATTCTGTTGGAACGTTATTGTTAACCGGTGTTGTTTTGCATTTTGTTTTTTTAAAAGCTTCGTTCAATTCTATAATATTAAATTCAGATCCTAATGTGTTGTTGTAGACTTTAGTACTTATAATTAAAGGTGACTCTACATGAATTTGTGGGAATCTCTGAAAAAAGTGCTTCCAAGTATCGTAGTCTATTTTGACAGAACTTCTGTTGAGTTTAGTTTCGGTCGAAATCTCCTCACAACATTCCAAAATAATTTGCCATCATTATTATTTTTAATTAAGTTTGATTCAATTTTTCAAAAATAGTTTGTCTTTTTAGTTTTCAATATATTGTTGTAAGATTGTTTGGCTTTTTTATAGTTTTCAAAATTAAGATCATTATGGTTTGCCTAAATTTGTTTAATTCCTCTTGTTTTTTCATTCTCATTCTGTAACAATTAGAGTCAAACCATATTTTTTTTAGCTTTATTTTGAAGGTTTATTTTATTTTTATTGAGACATATGTAGTTGTTTAAAATCGTCATTATTAGCTGGTATATTTTTACACTATTAGTATCCATTATTTCAGGATGGTAAGCATACGATTATTAATCTCTGTTAGATATTTTGACATTTTATATTTTATTTTTGGGCTATTTTTAAATGGATTACTTTTCTTCTTTGAGGAGTTAATAAAAATTTTGTTATTGTAGAAAGTGATCCGATATGTCAAATGAAGTTATCATGAATTTCTTACAGCAGTCCAGAAGTAGATCAGAACATATTGTGTAGTCAATTTTGGATTTACCAGTATGGGTTAAGCAGGTATATTCTGCTGGAAAATTAGGTTTAATGCATTCATTCAATATAAATATAAAAAGTATTTATATTGAATGATTCAGTTATTAATTCTATGTTCAGTTATGTATTCAGTTATTAATTCTATTAATCTTTTCCTCATATTGTTAGCCCGTTTGTCCGTGGATTTTCGATAATTATGAATTAAATGATTAGAGCTATTATATTTGGTGCCCATCATTTCACCAATTCTGGAGTTGAAGTCTCCTAGTACCCAATAATATACAGGGTTATATGATATCATGTATCGATCTTTTTAAAGATTTCATTAATTGTAGTTAGGTCACCAGGCAGCACATAAGTTATCATTATTATCAATAAATTATTATTCTTATTTAATAATTTAGTTTTGTTTATAGAAATAAGAAGTAGGATATAATTAATAGATTTTTTTATTTGGATTATTTTACATTAGTCTTTTTCTATCCTCATGCAAAGACCTCCTCTTGGGCAACCTGGACCTGCTGATTTACTTGCTAAAGTGGTTACTACCATAAATTTATTGGAGAAGTTAGATATTAAAATTTGTCAGTTGTAATCCAAGTTTCTGTCATGGCAAAAATGACCGGTTTATATTTGGCCAGCATAAAATTAACAAATGAAGTTTTATATTTGAGTCCCAGACAGTTCCAGTTTATGACAGAGATTGGATAGTTATTTTCAAAAATAGAGTGAATTTGTGTTTGACTTTGTTTTATAATATATCAGCTATCAGAATTAGAAAATGGTAAAAAAGAATCTACATAAACCAGACTTTTCTCATTGATATTATAAGTAATTTTTTCTTTTCCTGTTGTTATAATATTGTTATGTAGTTTAGCTTGTGGATTTATTTTTTGAATTTCATAAAGCGTTGAAAGTAGGTTTTTACGTCTGATTCTTGAACTTTTGTAAGATTTGGTGATATCTGGATATCTCCCCAATTTTCAAGTTGGTTTTGTTGTTTTTTTTTGTACATAAGTAAAGGAGACAGAATTTCGAAGTTGATTATTACTAAAAATTATTTTTAAAGTCAATTTAGGTAATTTTGTTAACTGAATTATCTCTAAAATATCTTCTTGAACCATATTTTGAATATTTAATAATAATACAATGAATTTATAAATTTCTTCCTTAGTAATACCTCTTGAAATGGGATAATTGTATTATATGATATTATTACGGTTATGCTCATTAGTTATATTGTCCATTTTAAATTGTATGAAGTCTTTTTCAATCTGCAAGGTGTCTATCTGTTGATATAATTTAGTAATCTGTTCTTCCATCTTCGTTTGTCTTTCTTTGGTTTCACGTAGGTTTTTGTGGATTAAATTCAATAGTAATTTGGTTAAATAGTTTATCATTAGATATTTTTATAAGATTGGAAATTTTGTTCCATAAAACTATCGAAGAAGTGTCTAACAGATTATCAGAGTCCTGTACTGAGGTAGATGATAAGAATGGCTCACCTGAATGATCTTGAGTGTGTTGTTGAATTAAATCTTCATTAATACTCTCATTATTCTCAGAAATAGCATATAGATTTTTATCCATTTGTAAATTATAATCCGTAATTAGCTTGGAACTTGTTGCTGTGAAGTTGTTGCGCTTACTCACTGATTTGGTTTTGTTGAGTGGTGGTCTTCCCTGTTTAATTGGAGAATGTTGCATTTTTTTTTTTAATATTGAAGTTTTCTTGTTAAGGTTAATTATCCAGCCGTTAATCTTTAACAAACAAAAATAAAAAACGTGTTAATCAAATTGGTAGTTTTAGAATTATAGTCACAAGTGAAGTGTTTGACAAAAGTCACCAGCAGCACCGGCAATTGAGATACGTCCCCCATTCCAGCCATATTTAAACAAAAAAGAAATATGGAAATAAAAACACATTTGAAATGTTCTAAAGCAGGGGTGGCCAACACGAGGCCCACCTGGAGTCATGTTGCAGCCCGCGGAGCTAGATCAAATGAACGTGAATGTTAACTTTATTGTACATATCACCAAAAGAACATTACGTCATGAGTTATTCGTATCATGTATTTTTAAATTATAGCTAAGAGAAATTTGAAATATTTCTCATTTTAAAAAAATTCATAGATTTTTAGTTATTTCGAATATCCTGCTATTTGACACTCAAGGTAACTTAGTTTTTTGTCTGACGCTAGGTGTTGATAAAATTTAATATGAGAATTTAGCTATATATGTTCTGTGGTCTTTGGCATTTTCGGGAAGTTCACAATGCTATTGGGCTCATATTCATAACTACTTTCAGTTCAGCTTGACAAAGTTCTGTGCTATTCTGTAGTTTTGTTTTATTATCGCCAATGCATCTGCAGAGATTTTGCAATCGACGTTAAAATACATATTTAACATATTTATAATTACAGTTCAAACTACTTTAACCAAGTAGCCTTCTACCATATTGATTCTGTAAGTAAGTAAACCCTGAAATGTTGGAGAAATTTCATCAAGTTGGTTTGGTAGAGTTCTATGAAACGTATTTGGAGAAGGATAAATATCTTGCATTTTACAAACATGCTCTGTCGATGGTTTCGCTATGTGGAAACACTTATGTGTGTGAACAGCTTTTTAGTCGCATGAAGTACTGTACATCAAATCACAAGTGAGATCGAATTACTGATGTTCATTTGGAAAACTGTTTGCGTGTAGCGATAACATCAGTGGAGATCAATTTTGATGCATTAAGTTCTGTAAAACAAAGTCAGATGTCTCACTTTTAAATATTTTTAAATTGTCTAATAAATATGTTTGATTCTTGGTTATGTTTTATTTTCTTCAAAAAATAAATATACCTATTTTTTGTGTTTTTTACATTAAACAAGGCAAGTGTTTGACCACGATCTCACCTACTGGGAAGCGACGATGTGGTTGAACCTGTAGCATGCTTGCTTGTTTACTTTAATTAAAAAAAAAAAAAATTAGGTGTGTGGCCCAGCAAGAAATATTATTTCTGAAATTTAGCTCGTTTTCTGAAAAGATTGGCCACCCCTGTTCTAAAGTATTTCTTACTGGTCTTGTGTGTTGTTAGTTTATAGAATAATTATTTTTTTACACATTAACAATTTAATCAACTTTCTTTTTAATTAAATTTTTCATTTTTCTATTTTAGATATGCAAACTTAATTCTGTCTGAGAAACACAAATTAATGTTTTCATTTCAAATATGTGTAAAGCTAATGGAAGATCTTGGATATATAAATAAAGAAGAGTACAATCTTTTTATAACTGGTGGAATTGTAAGAATTATTTATCATTTATAATTTATTTAATTATTATTTTATTTATATTTTTTGAATGTTTATTTTTAATTACTTGCAGTGCATTTTGTTATAATTAACATTACAGTATCTTTATGGTTTTTGTATGAGTATGAAATTTATTGGTATTCTTGTATGAGTGTTTCATTTTAATGCACAGATGCACAATTTAATATGAAACTTAAGTCAAACTTGATCATATGAAATAAAATATAAGAAATTATCTCATAATCTTTCTTGATCTAATTTGAGCCTCCTTAAGTTTTAAAATTTTTAAATCAGAATCAGCAGTAAAGAACAACTGCTATTCATTAATGTATTCAGATAATTTTGAAGATTTGAATTTGAAAATAAGGTTTACAGTACATATAAGTTATAGATATTGGAATTCATCCTTCTCATTCATATGGGTGAAATTACCCTAAAATCTTGGCTTTTAGGAAAATTCAAATTTAGGAAATGTGTTCACAAGATTATATTAAAATTATATTTCTAAAATTCATTATGTTTGGCCTATGCACAAGGACAGCTAATACATGAAAAACCTAAGTATCATAATGTGAAAGATAGGAAGTGTGGCTGTATAATTTTAGTTTAGTTCATAGTTTTATTGTTTGTTCTTTGTCCTTTCTTACTTCTAGAACCTTCAAATCTTAATCTATTTTCCTGGGTGGTGAAGGCCACGTTGTGGAATCACAAGAACAATGAAAGCTATGTTACCTGAGGGCATGTGTGGGGAATGTAGGACACTTTTTGGCTGGTCTTCATGGAGTGAAGATGATGAAGATGATAGTGCTTAGTGTTGTCGAGTATTCGAGAGACAAGTGAAACTAAACTGGAGTAAGAAAAGTTTATGAACTTATTAGAGTGACAGCATAATGAATCTCAGATATAGAAAAAAGGAAGACAGAAGCACAAAATGATTCTAAGGAAGTTCCACATGGCCTATCATGGAAGCTAAATAACATTTGTACATTCTGGGTATTCTATTCTTTTCTATCGGCCATCTTACTATTTCTTGTTTATAACCTCTGATCTCTTTTTCCTTTAGCATAAGTTAGTTTTTAAGGATTAGTTATAAAGAAACTCTTGTTGTATTACTCCTTTGTATACTTCACGATATTGTGTAATTGTCCCGCTGACATTTCAGACTTAGGGTGACCAACTGTTATACTGTTTTAGAATTGGAATCCATCAGAATCTGTATCTTTTATGTGTAAATACTTTTTTTCCATCTGCTATATGTGGTTAATTGTTTGCTGTATTCATCCTTGTTGGCTAATGGTATTTTCATTCATAACTTCACAGAAGAAACTACATATGTGAAGAATAATAAGTTTTCAGATATTTTCTATCAGCAGTTTCCAAAAACACTTCAAAACTACCAAAAATTTTCAATTGCTTTTTGAAAATAGCCAAAAAAGTTACCACATTTTCATTTTGAAAAGTAACTGATACAAGATAAAATTGAGTATGCATATTCTGATCACATTTTATATTTCTGTGATATATTGGTAATAATATTGTTAAAATATTCATGAACATTGGCATAAATTACCAACAAAATGACACAATTAACTCTAGTTCATAACACAGTGAGATTTACATAACAATGTATTCTTGATGCTGTTTCTTTTCTACTAATTTTTATTCTGGAGTTTTATTCTAAAACCTTAGCTATAGTCCCTGGCCTATGTAAAAGAGCATCTTATTCACAAAAAAGTCAGCATTCCTTCACAACTTTCATTTTCACAGTTTATATATTAGGGTAGACTATAGCTAAGGTTTTAGGGTTTAATAAATCAGTGGTGTGCCGTGACATTTGATGAGAGGGAAGCTGTGTTTCTGTAGGAAGCCGATTTCCAGGGACAATCAGTTAATTCTTTAAATGTATTTTTAATAGATTATTTATCTGACGTAATTAATAAATAAACAAGTTCAATATAATTACCTCTAATTACTTCAATATAATTATCAAAGTGAGAATCGGCATTTAGAGGGCATAGATTCTTTATGCCCTCTAAATGCTGATTCTCGCTTTGATAAAAACATATAAGATTTATTAATTTAAATATACCTATGCCATAACTATCTCATTATAATTTTCAATATTTATTTTATATTATTTACTAATGTTAAATTCTATTCTGCTTTGATTTCCAAATTGCTTCAAATACGAAAGAATCAACGATTTTTCGTGTCTTTTGCCAGCTAAATTGTGAAGCCATTCTTATTCCACACACTAATTTCATTTGAAAATAGTAGGCAAGCCAACAAAACAATTTTTGCATTTTTATGCATATCCATTTTATCATGAAAATGTCAAACAAATTTTTTATTGAAGTGTTTATATATAACTTAGGCATTGGCCTCTCTCTTTTAATAATGTTTTCTTTTTCATTATATGATCTTGAGCCAAAACTTTTTAAAAATAAATTTTCAATATCGCAATAACATTCTGAATCGCTAGCCACGATATAAGGGCTAAAATTAAAAATAAAATCATAAAAACTTACTTGGTAAAATAAAATGTGTGGTAGATATACATACCTAGTACAAAATATTATACAATTGTGAATATACTTTTAAAAAAAATTACTTACTTACTTATTCTTTATTAGGCACCTTGCAGGTGCATTCCCAGTACTGTATTATACATAGCTGAGAAATATATATACAATTTTTTATATGAAAATATAATTTACAAATGATAAAACCACTTGACAAATTGTAGGAAGACAAAGTAAAGAAGTTGTACAATATCAGTATGAATTTTACAAATCGATACCGTGGTAATGAATAGAAATGGTTATACAGGTGTTTGGTGTACCAATTTAGATATAATCTTACAGCTTGTCATGCAGGTTATTAAAAAGAAAGTACATAAGATAAAATAGAAGTGAACGAAAATTAACTAAAACTAACTTAAAACTAAACTTATGACTATCTTAAAACTAAACTTATGCTATATAACAATAAACTGAGCGTGTTGTATTCTAATCGTAATACAAACAGAATGTTATGAAATCTTATGAGGCCAAGTGTCCACAGCACGGTTTTTCTACTTTGGTGGTAAGTTTTGTCGAAGCTCATCAATGTTGAAGCCATGTATAGTTCATAACAGATGTTTAGATAACACAGATTATCGACCATCACTAGTTTATGGAACCAAGTTGCATGTTGCACAGTATTTTCCTGATTGGATGGTGTATTCTTATCACACAGATGTTTAGATCACTCAGACTATCAACCAGCAAAAGTTTATGGAGCCAAGTCGCAAAGTTGAACACTGCTTTTCTAATCCAACAGTGTATTCTTATCCAATCACATCGATAATGGTCTTATCCAGTCACATCAATGCAAAGTTTCCTTAGACTTGCAGTAGGCATTGATTGTTACTACAAGATGGGCTCAGATAATTGCCTAGCATGTCTCTATCGTTACAGCACATAGGCTGTATCCAAATGTCATGTCCTTTCTCAAATGAAGAAAACACATATTGCAGCAGAGGTGCAGAGAAAGCAAACGGTTTAGAATAAGAACACAAGGTTCAATTAAGATCACCTGTCTACAGCTCAAACAATGTTTTCAAGATATCCATAATCCACACTTCTTTTATAAAAGTCACGTGTCTGCAGTACAGACAATGTATCCAAGATATCTTATGTTAATTCACATATCTACGTCAGAGACAATGTGTATAAAGACATCCATGATTCTGCACTGAAGCAATTTATTTGGCCAGAAGACTTTGCAATTCTTCTTGCGAACTGACTGTGATGAGTTATGTATTTGATTATTATGAAGATAATAAACACGTTGACTGAACACAAAGGTCATAGATGAGACATAGTGATCAAAGTATGTTGAATGTTTTTAATAATCACGTATCCATCGAAGCCTTTATATGGTAGTAAAACATTTTCATCTGTCAAGTCCTCTGACAATTCAGCAAAGTGGCAAATGTAAGAAAAGGGTCGTTAACAATTGATGACAGAAAATGCAAGAGAGTTAACCTCAAAACTATGTCGAATATAGCTAATCCAACAATAATAATAGGACTTTCAAAAACCGAATAAAAGAACAAGACTACAAAAAGTTTTCAAGAAAATAAACAAGTTTATCAAGTAAGATAAAAGTAATTGAAATCAAGAATTATTCCCTAGTTGCATAGGTTGCTATAGTCTCATGGCGTTTAACTAGTAGAAGAAAGGAAGAAAAAATTTCTTTATTTTTTATGAGATCTTCATGTTTGCATGGCCAGTTGAGGTTATATCTATGAGCAATGGTTTTTAGTTCTAAACGTTCTCTTTCGAGAGAAATACAGGTAAAAAGATAATGGTCGATGCTGTCCGGTTGTCCGCATATGGCACACAGATCATTTTGGTTATTCACAAATCGATGTAGATAATTTGAAAATTTGTCATGTCCGGTAAGAAATTGAGTAAGGGGGAAAATTATAATTAAATATAGCTTCGAAAAGAAATGTACATAAAAATAACATAAAATCTTTACTTTTTAAATCTTAACCACTTAGTCAAATAGCTCCCTACCAGTGGAATCAGAGACGGTCCTGCTATGTGTGAGGTGTGTGCATGCATGCGGGCTGCCAAATCCCGATGGTGCCCATACCAGTCGATGTTAAATGCTTGTTTAGTCGCATCACTAGTATACCTCAAAGGACGCGACAGGGTTGTTGTAAATTTTAAATGTTTCTCACCATAGCTGTAAAAATCTAAATATGTTAAACTTAATAGTCATTTGTTTTCTAACCAATTCGTTTTAGGACCAGGTATCCACGGAAATTTCCAAAATTTACAACTTATCGGTCACTCTCGTTGAAGTGGAAAAATTTCTGTTTATATTATGTCTAATATTATAAAGAAATCAGTCCCCACTGTACTCGGCTAGAGATTGGGTCAGTTAAGCTTTTAAATAATATTCCAGCTCTTTCATCAGGGTTTTGTTTATGTCCCTAA